TCCTTATCCTGCAGGATCCTCCACCTCCATCGTCTCCCAGACTGACACGGAGTTAGTCACCTGCAAGGTGGACACGAGGGACCACCTGCACTGTGATGCCGGACACTCTGGCTGATGCCACCCACCGGCCTGCGGGTCTCAGACCTCACCACCACCCAGTCCTTGCTGGTTCCCAGCGACTCCCTGCGGGGCTCTGAGACCTTCACTGCTGAAGGGGGAGAAAGTCCAGTCTTTGTCCGAGGAGCTGCTGCCATTTTCCAGCTGCCCCCCATGGGGTTCACAGCCCAGCTTGGAACCAGTCCGCGACCAGGGGTTCCATGGGGGTCTCTGAGGGAGCTCCCCCATCCTCGGTCTGCCTTGGGGTTAGATAGAAAAGTGTGTGTGTGTGATTAGTGACACTAAAACCCACCTTGTGGCAGAGAAAACAATCTCAGTGGACCGTTCAGGAGAGACACAGACACCTCTGGGGAGGGTAGTTGAGCGATTCATCCTTTGGAGGGGCGGGGCACCATTGGACACCATTTGTGGAACATCCGACTCCCTGCCCTCAGAGAGCTGACGGTCTTGGAAAAGGCCTGGGCCACACAACCAGGAGCCCCCAGGGGAGCGACACGGGGCCTCGTCAGCTCTTCACAGTGGACCTTCGGGGACAGGAGTTGAGTTCAAGATGCAGATTGACAAAAGCAGCCTTCAGTGGGGAGATGCTTCTTAACCCATGGAGCTGCAGACAAACACACCCATGCACACGGGCACCCAGGACAGAGTGGACAGGGGGCACCCAGGACAGAGTGGACAGGGGCGCAGTCGGAGTGGTACAGTCTCAGCTACGTGCTGCTGTCTGGGTCAGGTCAAATTCACAGTCTAACATCAATGAGGGCATTGTCTTGGTGACCTGATGCTTCCGTAACCGAAGAAAAAGAGCAGACCGCCCAGGACTGAACCACACACAGATGCTTTGTGCCACAGGCCAGAGGCTCAAAGTTCACCTGGAGGTTGCCTCCTGGGGCTTCCCCCTTGCTTCCAGGTGACCCTTGGGGTCCCTTCTCACCTTGCGGAAGCATTTGTCCGGTGGGGCATCACCCTGCGTGTGTGTGCATGTCCTCCCCTTTATCAGACACCACTCAGAAGGGGGTGGAGACCCAGCACAGATACCGCCCCATTCCCAAACAGGGGCCATTCTTGAATACACTGCAACATGGCTTGGGGGTGGGGGCACAGGGCACCTGTTGCTAGGCAACTCACTGCCTCATGACCTTGTAGGGTTGAGTAGAACTGCCCCAAGAGTTTCCAAGGGTGTACATTTTTAATTATCATTTAAGGTATTATTAATTGGGTTGATACATATGTCATTCCATACTTCAACCATGTCCATTAGAATTGTACAGTTGTGACCTCCATCGGTTTCCAGACATTCTCATCTACATGGACTCCTGGACATCCTCGCCCTTTCACAACCCCCCCTGCTTGTCTCCCCAGAAACCTGTCCCTCCAGGCGCATCAACCCTGGGTCTCACCCAAGGCTGGACTTTTGGCAGAAGCACAAGGCCCCATCCTTCTCCCTTGGAGGAGATTGGTGGGTTGGAACCATCAACCCTCTTGATTGGCAGCCCAGCACTTTAACCACAGAACCACTAGGGCTTCTCCATCGGGACCACACATGAAAGGTGCAGCTGGGAGGGGGCTGGAACGGATACAGGACAAGTTTAAGCCCCTGCAAAGAGGAATGCACAAACCTTGAAACGTGTATATCAATTGTCCACATATCAGGCACTAAGTCTCAATCATGTAATGAAAGGGGTGGTCCCGGTTGGTAGTGCTGCTGTGTAGGGGAGGGGGGTCACAGTTTCTCATCCTAGTGCTACAAAATCAAGAGT